AAACTATTCAGACTAGGTCGTTCAGAAAAGTGTTGAAGAAATTAGGTTTTAAATGACAAAAAACAAATGACAACCGAAAAATACTTATGGAAAAAACGGATATTCGAGCCAAACGCACCGAATATCTAAAAAAATATATAAAGCTGAGGGTTATGATGTTATCTACACTGATGAAACGTATCTGCACAGCAGCACCCTTTTAAGGAATTCAGGTATACAACTAAATCCAACTAATTACCTAAAGGAAATCCACGTGTAGGTAGGTAGAACCTAATTATTGTTCTATTGTTTTTAATTGTTTTTATCTAACCTCATTGCAATTCCTAGTAATTTTTGATTTCTGGTCTGATATGATATATGAAGAATTCCAGACAAATTATAAATCAATCATTAGCATTCTATAAATCAGTAAACAAATTATCACTAAATAAAATTATTTACCTTATCCTTTTTTTGAATATTGTTTAATTTACCGTCCTCAATACACTTATAAATAAATAAAAAATTAGTTAATTTGTAAATAATTTGTAAGTAGGTACAACTGTTTTGGAAATTTTAAAAATAAATTATTAAATTAAATGTGTATTAGTTATTCATCTCATAATATTAGTTATATTATGTCTCAACTTAAAATAAGAAATTGAAAATATAAACTTATAAACAATAATTTTGCAATTAATAATAGGGCTTTTTCCACGTTTAGTACCGAAAGTTGGGTTTAAAATACCAAATTAAAGCCAGTTTTTAAAAAAATTTGAACAAAAATCATTGAAAATATAAACGAAATGCACATAAAAACCAATTTGGTTGTGCACCGTGCAATTTTTTATTTATTACTCAGTCCAGCACTGTAATTATTTCGACAATTTCGAGGTTGCAGTCGAAGGTAGAACGTTTTAGTTTGGTTAGTATAATTCCACTTATAGCAGAATCTTTCTGTCTTTACGTGAATTTTGACTCCGTCTTCGCGCAGCTACATGGTCAAGAGTGCTTGCAAGTACAATACATGTTCTTGGACCGTTGTGCCACATGGTACTAATTTTTAGTGGTACAAAAAACGTACCAGTGTACTTCAAAGAGTTACAAAGAAGCATTTGAATTATTGAGAGTTTAAGTTGAGACAAAAAAAAACGATTCCTTTAAAAATAAGTTCATGATGCAAAAAAATATACCAAAAGGAAGAAATAAAGTAAAAGTGAGAACCACGAAAAAAATGATAACAGCAGAAGGTAAAAAATGTAAGTACCAAACAATAATAAAACTTCAAAAAAATATTGATTAGTTTTTCATATCAGTTTTGCTTTAATTTTTGTTATTAAAATAATATAACTTACTTGGTCTATGTATCACTTAAATGAATACACAAAAGCTTTTGTCTTGCTGAATGTTCGTGTATTATTATTTATTAAAACCTACTTTAGTCTTAAATCGGCAATATTATTAAATATTATTTTTTATTCTTTTGGTATTGGTTTGCGTTAAGCGTTAAGCGTGTTAAGTTCATGTTACTTATGCAATTTTTTTTAGGTTCATGCAAGAAAAGGTTTATTATTATTTTTTAATACGTTTATGGTTTGTTCATATTATTTATTGATTGTGTTAAAGAGAGAAATAATTATTTAATTGATTAACAAATTTTGAGAGATAACTTCTTATAAAAACTCCAAACATATGAACAGATTATTGCAAACTTGAAACTCGTTTATGTCAAAACTCTCTTTGTCAACCATTTTCCATCCACTCCTGAATGTAGGTTTCTCCCAATTACATCCATCTTTCTCTATATTTAACCGATCTAATCCACTGTTTGCCTACCACTCACTTATCTCAGAACAGTGTTTTAAAATTTAACTCTCTTTATACATAGAGTTTTATACAAAGAGAAAAAGAGGCTAAATATAGATATACTTGGGGTTAGCGATATACAATGGTCAGGAAATAGAGAGATATCAATAAATAACCACAATATTTATTACACTGGAGCAGAAAAAACTGATTATCGATACGGAGTAGCTTTCATCATAAACAACACTATTAGAAAATCAGTGCTAGGCGTGATTCAAAGAATAATAATGCTAAAAATTCAAGCATGGAACTGTAATATTAATATGATCCAAGTATATGCTTCCAAAGCTGATAATACCAAAGATGAGATCGAAAAGTTTTATACAATACAATCAAGTTTAAAAAATCTACAGATATTACTTACATTTTAAAAGATATTAATACAAAAATTGGAGTAGGTAAAGTTAAAAATATATTTGGAAAGTTCGGATTAGGAACTAGAAACTAGAGAGGAGAAAGACTTACATGGTTCTGCCAACAAAAGAATATGGCAATTGCCAATACTTAGTACTTAGTGTCAGCTTCCTAAGAGAAAACTATATACATGGATGTCTCCTTCACATACAGAAAACCAGATTATCAGAATCCAGATAGACTTTATACTCGTAAATAGTAGTATATAAAAACTCTATAACCTCAGTTAAAACCTATCCTGAAGCAGATGTTAACTCAGACCACAATCCGTTAGTTGATGACGTGAAAATAAAATTAAAAACAAATGAACTCAGAAAATAACAACCAAAAATTAATGTAAGAATGCTACTAAAAACGAAGAAATAAAAAACTAATTAAAAAATAATGTGAATGTTAATACAAAAAACGCTAACTGACAACAAACAATTTATGGATGTAAATAAAAAGTGGTATATTATAAAAAAACACATTACTGAAACCAGCTCAAGAAAGTTTGATACAAAGAAGGAACTATTAAGGAAAATATCTACATAAGTATAAAGAAAAACAACGAATAATTAAGGAAAAAATCAAAACAGCTAAGGAAATCTATTTGATGAAACAATGTAAAGAGATAAAAGAACTAGAAACAAAATATGATATAAGAAATATGCACAAAAAAAATAGGAGAAGTGACTGGAATGGGTCGAAATAGACAGCAAAGGCACATAAAAGACAAAAAAGGATTACTACTAATAGATTTACTAGAGAAATTAAGATGGGAGGAGTACTTTAAAGAACTTTTCCAAGATGAAAGAGGTGGAATGCAGAAAATACAAGAATTAATTTCTTTAGAGAGTCACAGGATCACGATAGAGGAAATTAAATATCCTATCAAAAACTCGAAAGACAATATGGCAGCTGGATTAGATAAAATACCAGTAGTACTATTAAAACTAGGGGAAGAGGATAACTTGGAAGTATTGGCAGATTTGTTCAACACGGTGTACGATACAGGAATAATATCACAGGAGTAGCTGAAGTCAGCATTTATAACCATCTCTAAAGAACAAGCAGCAAAAGAGTGCTCTGATTATCGAACATTGAGCCTCATGAGTCATACTTTAAAAGTATTGCTGAAAGTAATACATAAGAGAATATACGAACGGCTGGAGGAGAAGAAAAGGATTAGCGAGACGCAGTTTGAGTTCCGAAATGGAATGGGTACTCGAGAAGGACTATTTGCCATCAACATATTGATTCAGCGATGTCGTGACGTAAACGTTGATCCACACTTATGCTTTGTTGACTACGAAAAATCTTTCGATAAAGTAAGACATGAAAAACTAATATCAATACTTATGAATAAGCGCATTGACAGTAAAATTATAAATATAGTGCAAACATTATATTGGAACCAAAGTGACAGTTCAAATTGATGGGCAACACTTAGAAGAAATGAAAATCTGAAAAGGAGTTAGGCAGGAATATGTTTTATCGCCGCTTTTGTTTAACTTATATTTTGAAGAAATTTTCCAAAACACGCTCAATAATATTAAAGCTGGAGTTACCGTTAACGGAAAATTAATTAACAATTTACAATGTGCAGACGACACTGTAATCATAGCAACGAGTATAGAAGATTTACAACATCTTATCGAAAGCTTAAACAGGAATAGTGCTTAGATAAGAATTACTATAAACGCTAAAAAACGAAGTACATGCTAATTACAAGAAGACCACAAAATATACAATCAATGGTAATGTGATAGAACAACTATAAAAATAATAGTAAGTACTTAAGAACTTTGATCGATGAAACCATTAATCATACTGCAGAAATAAATAGGCGAATAGAGATTGCCAGATCAGTATTTATAGAATGAAGCCACTTCTAACGTGCAGAAATCTAAATTTGGAGATCAAACTATTCGCTGTATTATATTTTCAATATTATTATATAGAGCTGAGACTTGTACATTAAAAAAGCAATTTAAAAAGAATCGAGGCTTTCGAACTCTGGTTATACTACATAGTATTAAAAATATCATGCATTGATAGAATTACAAATAAAGAAGTACTGAAGAGGGTTGGTAAAGAAACGGAACTGATCACCGCTATACAAACCAGAACACTGGAATATCTAGGCCACGTGATGAGAGGATCAAAATTTGAAATTTTGAGACTGATAATACAAAAAAATATTCAAGAAAGAAGATCTGTTGGCCGAAGGCAGAACTCATGGTTAAAAAATTTACGTGATTGGTATCAATGCAGATCGATTGATTCGTTTAGAGCAGCAAGTTCAAAAATAAAAATAGCCATTATGATTGCCAACCTCCGTAGAGAGACGGCACTCTAAGAAAAAGAATACACAGAGCATAGATATATAATATTCGTGATAAGAAATATATAGTTTTTAATATCTAAACATGGGACCTAAATTATGTATTTTTATTTGGAAGTTGTCAGTAGCATCTCATTACTCAGTCTGATTTATTTACCAATATAACGTAATATGAGTCTTCGACGACGTTGTAGTAGAATTTGCTGGCAGAGGTGAGTCTTAATCCTAGAAGCCTCGATTTATTTGTCGGAAAACAGTGAATATTTCTTGAGTGAGTTTTATTACAGTCTGACGGTGGACACCTTACGCTGCCTCCGAGGTCTATTACCAGCCTTAAATCACCTTGTATATTTAATTTTATTTATTTTTTCTTTATTTTTTTTAACAATTTTTTGTATTCATTTGTTAATTATAGGTTCCTTACAAGACAATTCAGTTAATTTTTTATCGATTTCTCAACATTGCTGACGATGAAATGCATAAACAGAAAGAGGAGAAAATAAAAATTCATATAACTGATCCAGCACTACAACCATATCTTTGTGTTTTAAATATTGTGTTCGATGTAACATTTCCCCATACTTTTGAATATGAGATTTTAACTGAGAAAAATAAATATCAACAATTGCAAGCTGTATTTAGGGCATTATGTAAGCAGGTAAGTTGTTTACTATATGATTAAATTAGCTGGATCGATCGTAAATTCTTTGTTATGTATTTTAACAGATCTAATAAATCAATTTTGTTTATTTTTTCCACAAAATGACACCTTAGGCGGTATTCAGCAAAATATTTAAATTGCCTAAATTTTAAAATAAAAGAACTTTGCCGCTCTATTATACATATGTAAATAGAAGGGATTAAATAAAAAAAGAAAAAAATATACTATGTTTAAAACATCGAGTTAAAATCTATGGAGAAGCTATGAGCATATTGTTGTTTGTGTTTAAATGACTGCGGACACTAAATCCATTCGCCAATCTTACAATTTGAGGTGTAGTGTGTGTGTGTGTGTAGAGTAATTGTCTTGATACTTAGCAAAGTCGACGTCATTGTCTTTGCTAAGAGACGCTAATTGTATCCGAACGTCTGCGGTCCCTCCGGTGTGTACCGATCACACAAGGATAGAAATTATTTTCATTTATTAATTTTTTTAATAAACGAAAATTTCCACCCAGGTGGGATTCGAACTCACGACCTTTAGATTTAAAGGCAGGCGCTCTTACCACTGAGCCACAGAGGGGGTTATGAGCATATTAACGTGTATATTAAAAACGGAGTCAGTAGGTGTGGCTAACGATCATACCAATATGGCGGTGGGATCAGGGCCAGACTCAATAATATTAACACTACTATAAAAATTTATTCAGAAAATTTAATCAAATTAACAAATAAAAAAAAAAAAAAAAAAAAAAAAAAAAAAAAAAAAACAAATTAACTGACACTTAAAAATTTAGTTCAATTTACAAAGCTAGAAAAGTTATTATTAAAAAAAAAAAATTTGAACATAAACCACTATATTTATTTAGTTTCCATATTCCTCTGTTAACAAATTTGATCCATGTGTCTCGTCTTTCAGGATCGTTTGGAAATCTAAAAATACAATTATATGCATCACTAAGTATTAATAACAAATTTATATTTTAAATAAAAAATATAAATATTGAACTAAAAATATTATAGAAAGCTTACAAATTGTTTATTAGTATCATTATATTCTTTGTATTCATTACTTATATTTTATTGGAAATTTATGTTTTAATTGCTATTTTGGAAACTTTTAAAAATATTCAATAATGACTGAAAATTTTATCGAGAAACTTTGTTTGAAGTTACTGCAAAATTTTTTATGAATACTATTAATTTATTATCTGAAGTACGGGCCTTTACTTTGTTTACATATTTGTATACTAACCTGTGGAACGTTATGCCTGAATATTTTTTATTAACATTGCTTCTGCTACTGCAACTACGTTGAGAACAAGAAACCATTATTATACAATATCACAATATATTATTACAGTTTCTATAAAAGTATTATAAAATCAGAAATATTCGAAAAACAACAAACTTAAGCAATCATACACGATCTGTCAAAACGATCATAACAATATGAGCGAAGTGAGGTCGTTTTAGTCACGTGATACCCTCTCCATAGATTCTAATTCGATGGTTTGAAAGTTATTAATGGCACAGTTTTATGACATTACTGATAATCGCCAACGTAATGTGATAGACCTTGCGACGACAAATTTGTTGAAATTTTGTTGTCTCAAATTTCGCAGTATTGTAATAAAGCAATAATGTGTGTAATACCTTTTCAGGTATCAAATATTATCATTAGGGAACAGCTAAGTTTCTTAGAAGGAATTACAATTTCAATTCGAGATTAAATTTCTCTTTGTCAATTATTTTAGTTAAGATTTACATATCTGTAGAAATTTTACGTTTTTCTAAAAGCAACAAAAGCAATATCTTTATAAGTCATGTCAACTTGTGTAATAAAAATAGCAAAAACGTCCAAAAGTGTCAATTAATAGTGCATTTAAAGACCGTAGTGTTAAATTATATGACTATATTTATATAATAATGGGGTATATGAACACCCCACATATATATATATATATATATATATATATATATATATATATATATATATATATATATATATATATATATATACTGAGATAATATTAAATATAGGAGAACCGAAGGTAATCTAAATTGAACTTAAATGGTGATTAAAGAAATAATTTATAAGTTATATACTAGAGAATATTATAAAAAGTATTTATATGAGGGCATTCTTAAGAAATTACCATAATAATAAGTTCAAATAGTTTTTATTTGCAATGTATTTGGTTATTTTAATAATTATGATGTTATGAATATATTTAAGTGCACCATCAAAATAGGCAACCAAATTTACTTAAAAAATTTTTTTTTTTTTTTTATTTTAATAATAAATATATTTGAGTGCGCCATATTAAAAGGCAACCAAATATACACTGAAGTAAGTTTGGGTTATTATAACATGTAAATAAGAGTGAATTTGAACAGAAAAGAAGACATTTAAAATGATAATTACGGATTTAAAATAGTGTTATTTATTAATTTAAGATGTTTAATTTACATATGAGTTTACATTCTGATCTGAAAGCCTAAATTTCCATAAAGTTATCGATAAAAGGGTAAAGAATTATCTAGAACAATTGAAATAAGACGTCAATAGAGGAAAGTTAACCTTATTTGCGTAGTAGAATATTCGAAAATATTTAAATATCTATAAAATAGAACAATTCGAATATAATATGTTCTTTAAAGAATATTTTTGAACATTGAAATGATATAAATACTCGGTGGTTTGAAGGAAGGGGGAATTCAGTTAGTTAAATTAGTTAATTGATTCATTATTGATTATTAGTTAATTAGTTAGTCAGTCAGTATGGTCAGTAAATAATACAAGCAGTTCATTAGTAAGTAAGTTAGTATACAGAAGACAGTATGCAAGACAGTAGTCAGTAATCAGTGATTTAGTATGAAGTTTTATAATATTTTTAAAGTATATTACATAGAGATTGAAAAAATAGTATTAAGAGAGTACTAGTTGGAGATTAAAAATTATATTATGTATATGGAGATAAGAAGAAATTAAAATTATAATATTTATATGTGATTGGAGATTAGAAGAAGAAAAAATAAGATTATTAGAAAGAAGAATAAACAAGAAAGCAATAAATAAAGAAGAATATTTTGCCGATTTATAAATTCTATTGACAAGAAAAATATTTTAAAATGGTGGAAGCTGATAATTAAAACATTGTGGTGTATATTTGGAGAAGCAATTTCACAAAAAGCAGGATAACAAAGGCTGATAATGAAGATATTGAGTGTTGATTAAACCCGTTTTGTAAGAATTTCAATTTTAAGATAGGTTGTTCTAAATTTATATTGTCTATATTATATATATATATATATATATATATATATATATATATATATATATATATATATATATATAAACCCTATACTTATATATGTTATTCTAAAATACTCATTGCTCATACACATACAAAACATCATAGCAGTACATATATATGTTATATGTGAAAATAGTCACCTTAAACCACTCAAGGATTACCGACACTTTGATTTCGCAATATCAGTTCCTATTTCATCATCCTTTCAACAAGCAAGCAATAACACTTTCAAATATAAAATATATTATTGCCTATCCAACCAATAACAATACATTTTCAAGAACCTAATATCCCACATATGTCTACTTTCCATTTTTCAGGTACCAAATGTTAAAGAAACATAAAGGGCCTTATATTAGAATCTCTAATTCATAACACTACTAGACACAGGTATAGTTGGTTGCCTAACTATAACCACATAATTTTCTCACCACAATTCATCTCAGATACATAATTTAAAACAACAACATTGATAGTTGATACTATTATATTATTTTATTTTAACTTTCACAATTATAAATAGCGTTGGCTTCTGTCTTAAGTAGACACATAAAGTTACACTGTTACGACTTCCGTCCTAACTTGTCAAGATTGTCATTTCAATCAGTTGCTTTTTTCATAAAGTCCTCATAGACACACCTGTCTCAGAACTAGCAACTTCAGTGGAGTCATATGTCGCCATGTTACCAAATCTAACGGTAACTTTAACATCATAATAAATAATAACAAAGTAAACTAAATATAAAGAAATAATTTTTAACGGGTTTTTACCTACATATTTAGTGGCTAAATACATGTGTATTAACCACATTTTGCATTAATCTTGCTAAAAATTTAAATTTCATGTTCTTTTTAATTAAGTGGTTATATACTTTTTATGACACTGTTAATGAAATATGGATTCCAAAAATGTTTTGTGTAACAAAGCCCGATTGAGTTTTTAAATATATACCTTTTATAAAGGATTCTTATTAAAAAATTTTTGATATATGGTATACAGCCAACTACAGGAAGTTTGATTCCTTGTGGGTTATTTTTTTACTATTTAATCAGTTAATAAATAAACAAAACTATTGAATAAAATATATGTTTGGAATCAAATTTTAACTACTTTTTAAATAAAGTACAACATAACCTCTTTTGGTATTTAAATAAATTAAGGTTTTAGCTGTTACCTCATGGAGGTTCATCGAAATAAGGGCACTTTTATACTGTTATGTACAAGAACTTTAAACATCTGGGCAACTTTGTTTTATCTTTAAAATAAACGAGTTGACATGGGAAGTAAGACATTATTCGCTCTAATTTTTGGGTATTAGGTTTAAATATCGAAACCGATCTTTTTATCTAATTTATTTGATTATTCTTACATCCCTTTTGTTCTAGATCTTACAAAAATTTCAAGTTCTGATTATTGATAATTCAGAATGCATTGATGAGGAATCTTGGTTACTTCTAGAGGTACTAATAAGTATTAATACTGTATTTATTGTTGTAACTTTGGAAACTGAAACGGCCGTATCCCCAGTAGCCTTACAGATTTTTCAAAATCCCAAAGTAAAAATAATTATATTAAATCCTATAGAAAAATGGTATCATATAGGATTAGCATGCCAAATGTTAAAAGTAGATGGAATACCTCCTGAGCTTGAAAAGTAAATATCGTTATATACATATCATATTAAACTACATTAAGAGTGTTTTCAATGTTGTGCACATTTTGTAATATTCCTGTTTATTGTGTACTAAATAAATATTGATGGTTATATAGTAGATATAAAAACTATCTACATGTCGGTCTGATTCTAAACTAAAAGGTCGTTTAAAGTTTACTTTGCAAATAAAAATACATTTTAGATATTCTGTAGGATAAATTTTGAATCGGAAATATTTTACTAACCCGTGATCGCTACTGCTTCTAAATTTCCCGCTATCAGTGGCGTGATAGATTGTATCTAACATAATATTGTCGCCTTTTTAGGTTGTTTTGGTACTTAGATGTATTTTTTATATTTTATTTGGTTCAATTATAATACAATTATATTCAAGAACTGTTTAAAACAATCAAAATAAACACCAAAATTGTATCTGCTGCAACTAGTTTTGAAAACATCACCTCTGTCATCCGTCTGGCCAAGGAGTGTAGCATATACTGGAGAACTGCAAGCAATCTTCACCGCACTGAACTAATGTACTAGCAATGATATAAAGTTTCTTATTGTATCAGATTCTCTAAGTGCCTTAAATGGTATCAAGCAGATGTATCCTACTCATGCCAATTTAGCACTAATAAAAGACATGCTATACAATGCCCAAACACGTGGTAAAAACATAACATTTTTATGAGTACTATCCCATGTTGGAATAAAGGGTAATGAAGCAGCTGATAAAGCAGCAACAGAAACTATCAATAACATGACAATTTCTATTATGCAAAACATACCAATTTCGGACCAAAAAACATTAATAAAAACTTACATTAACAAAATCTGGCAAGTAAAATGGAGCTAAACAGAAGCATAATTAAAAATTATCAAACCAGATGTTACTTCTGCTTTACTACCGCTCCCAGCTCAAAGACCTGGCCAAGTAGTTACTAACAGACTGCGTCTAGGTCATACAAAATTTACACATGAATACATCATCTATAAGGACCATCAGCCGATTTGCCACACCTGTCAAATACCATTTTCAGTGCAACATATAATGATAGACTGTCCAGTATACTCAATAGCAAGATCAACAGCAAAAATAAAACACAATTTAAAAGAAACTCTAAAAGAAGACTTCAGTAATACAATAAATTTTATCAAAAATTATAAACTGTATATCAAACTGTTATATATATATATATATATATATATATATATATATATATATATATAATATATATATATATATATAATATATATATATATATATATATATATATATATAATATATATATATATATATATATATATATATATATTTATTCCCACGATAAGTAAAAACGCTTTGTTCTTTTATCAAGCTTTCGCAAAATTTATTTGTTTCTTCAGGATATGCTAAAATATGGTATCAGTAAATAAAATGAAATTAGAATTAAAAAACATTGTATAAAACTAAGTAGTATTAAAAATTTCAACATGAGGTTAATCCATTAAATTTTTAAATTCACAAAATATTAAAACTTCACTTATTTATATACGTACCTATATAAGTAAGTAAGTAAGTAAGTAAGTACCTATATATTTATATACGTACAATATATTAATTTTATTTAATTTTGTATAAATTCATGCTAACAATGATTATTATTTTGATGTTTGATTTATATAGGTACCAAGGAGTCGAAACAGCGTTCTGAAAGTATTCTTGAAATGTTCCGTCTGTACTCCAAAGTTGTGAAGTATTAAATGTTGGGCCTTCTTTATGACAACAAGATCCAAAATCCTAACAAATGCACTGATATTGTCAAAATTTACAGGAGCGTATTGCTTTACGTTTCTAGTACGTCCTAATTATTTTAAGTTCCTTATTGGTGCAATCTGTAATATACTGAATAATTTAATTATAAAAAAAAGTTTCCAACAATTCAATACTGCTTGGTTTCTTTGGCCACACCTGGCAACTGTGTAACAATATTTTAATGTAGGTTTTTCAAACTTTGTTTCGATTTTCGTACATGAACCATTTAGAACCATCTTTACCATGATAATATGAACCAATTTTTTTAAACTTAAATTTTAAAAATCAAGACCCACAGTGGCTTGTGTAGAAATAGGATTTTGTACATATGTGTCCGATTGATCGATTTCATCTTGATGCAGGTCATCTGGTACACTCTACCAAAGGGCTAGTAAACTTTGCTATTCCCTATCATACACCATAACAAACAACAACAGAGTCCAAATTTAGTATAGTTCACAAACAATATTTTAAATAGGATACAACGCTATTCAAAATTGGTAACTATGTAATTGGCATTCGCATTATATTTTTTACTAATATCTCGATAAGGAAGACTTTTATAGCGCACTGAACCACTGAAGTCTGAAGAAATATCCGTTTTTTATTATCAGTTATATCATTCTCAATTAATGGTGGGGGTAACTAGACAAAACGTTGATCAGAGCATAGCTTGCTGGAGATGAATATACGAAGCGTAAAAAAGTAATATAAAAACAGCTACATATTTTATAGTCTACCAAATCAAAAGTACCCGAAATCACGTATCTATCATGCAATCTCGGAAATTGTGAATTTGATCATTGGCGGCGCATGATAAACTATGCACATCATGTATTTCCAAAACATGCCAAAACGTGTTTATTTGGAAGAAGTTATACATCTAGTCACGCACGACATGAATCATATTGTTACAAATACAACACTCCACGCAATTAATTCTACGTATTTCGTTTTCTGCAGTAAACAAAACGAAACGCAATTATCGAAATTGGAAGTTTATGTTTGAAAAAAATTTAATTCTCTTGAGTGTAAAATAACTGATAAGTCTTTTTAATAATGGAATTAATTAACGTTCTGACATTATGTCGAAATGTATTTACACAACAAAATAAAGACACAACAGATGAATCAACAGCCGAATCAGCCGTTTGTTGCAACTACACAATGAAACAAATAATTTCATTTTATAAGCGTTAATGAAAAACTAAAAATTTCGAGAAAGAAAGAGCTGGAATACAAAGTAAACATTTACCTTGCATGGCATGGAACATGAATGATAACACATCCACATGAAATGAAAAAATTTTATGCTTCAGAAATAACGAATTTTAAATATTTTTGATGCTGTAAATTCAAGTGACTTCTTTTTCGTAGTAGTTCTTTTTTGAATCGATGGTATAATTTTAACTTCGCTCGAAAAGATATACACAAAAGCATATGAAAATCAGCAGACGGACTTACAGTGAATATGATAGATCATTTTGTTGTAGACTCAAGACACTAATCCAATATAATAAACGTTGGCACCTAAACAGAAGCAAATGCGGATTCTGATGACTACTGGTTTCAAAGTAGGTAGGGTAAGGACCAGAAAACGTTTAAAAATATAAACGATGTATTGTAGTAGAAAGAAAATATAAACAGAAATAGAGAATATAAACAAAATATAAACATTAAACTAGAAAACAGACTAAAACATAAAAATATAACAAAGAGTGGGAAGGCTGCAGAAACATCATGAAAGAAGCAGCTGAAGAATTACTAGACATGAAAGCTAAACAAAGAAGAACAAGAACAAATAACTGTTTTAATGAAGAATATCAGATTATAATAGAGAGAAAAACAGAGCATATTTAATGATGCAACAGGGGTACAGAACCCGACAAGCAGAATAGAAATATTTATATTCCTATTTATATACTACACATGGAAGAAAAAAATCTCAGGATGAACAGAAAAACTACGAACAAAGAACTTTAAGAACTAGAATATCTAAGTAAGCCAATAGAGACGAGAAAATTTTACCAGAAACTGAACAAAAGCAAAAAGGAATTCAAACAAAAGAAGTAAAGAGATAAGGAGGGTAATATTATAAAATAACAGCAAGAAAAACTGAGAAGATATATTTCCTAAAGGAGACCAAAAATGTTTTGGATTATATTGATATATTAAATGTTCGTTTGTAATACTCCATGTAACGGTTTTTTTTTAATATTGATTTTAATGATGTGTTCTTAATATGCCATATGCTAAATAAAAAATATATTCTCCGCTACTGAAATTATTCTTGGTAAAATTTATAACCTGATATCACGCGTATGACTCATTTCATTATTCCCTTGCTGAAGTGTAGATAATTTCTATCAGGTGGCGGTACTGGTCGCGGTACTGGTCCAGTCTTGGTGTTAAAGATTCCCTAAAATGATAACTTTTCAAACAACTGATAAAAATATATTTGTTTTTAGGACAATCCAGTTGAAAAGTAGTGGTAATCCAGGATGGATAGAGAGCTTTTTAGTTAGTTTGATGCAATCAGGTGGTTTATCAGTCAAAAAGATTTCAAGAACTCAAGCTTATAATCGCGGCATTGTAATTGCCCCCTTATATATGACGAAGAGGTAAGTAATCAAGTTTACTTATTAGTAGTATATCTATTAGTAGTGAATCTTAAACATTTTAGATACACATGATTGTAAAGAAATCACAAGATTTAAAAATTGTTCGACAGCATAAAATAGTACTAAAACAGGTTTGATGCAATAGAAATGCAAAAAAAATCACCACATAAGGCACAAAATAATAAATAGCCTATTAACCTGTAGACCTTCTACTACAATGCTAGCAGTGATAACCACATATAATCCACAAAAACCAAATAATTAATTTATTCCTTTAAACAAAAATAAAATTTAATACCAAAATTATTTGTTTACTGATCCAGTTTATATACTCAATTCGCTAATCCCAGTCCGAACTGTCTAGTAATTTTAGTAACTATGTTTTTACGAAGTTAGTTACTTTTTGACAGACTAGCGGCCGGTTTCCGAAACGTTATTCAAATCTCCGATTATCTAATCGAGCTGTTAGATTTGATTAACTGTTAACCAGTGACCAGTTTCTGAAACGTTAATTATCTTAAAATTACATGATCGTAGAAATTGTGACATACGATTTGGTTTCGATACTGTCACAATCGGCTGTCATCCTTCAAAATATTAATAAACAACCAAAAAATTTTAAGCTGTACCTACCGTTAAAAAAACAACATAATTTAAAAAATTAATATTAAAAATGAGTAATCCTCCACGCAAAAATTATACAGAGAGGGAGAAGTGTTTACTGTTGCATATAATTGAAAAGTAAGTACGAAATTGTCTAACTTATAGAACAAATTTCTAATTGTATCTTTGTTTTCAGATACAAGAAAATCATCAAAAACAAATGTACAAATGCTATGACCACCGCAAAAAAAGTGAAACCTGGGAAAAAATAGCGCTGGAATTTAATGTCAGCGCTTTAATTTGAGAAAGTTTTATTATAAAGAAAAAACTATCTGGTATATCTAAAAAAATGAAAGCTTTTTTATTTTTATAGTTGCACAAAATAGTCAAGTGAAAGTAGATTATCTACAATTGGAAGACACGGAACAGACATCCAATGTACCCTCTACTTCCACTGTGCTGCTCAGTACACCCTCGACATCTGCTGTCCTGCCCAAGAAAAAATCTAAAATGTCTAAGGCTTGTTTTAAAAATAAAAAATTAAAAAATGTAGGGAGCGAAACCAATAGACGTATTTATTATAAAAAAAAATTGAGTGTACAAATATAGAAAAAAGAAGCAAACTGGTATTTTTAAATAATGAAATCAGACAAAAAGAAATTTTAGAATTGGAACTTCAAATAAAAAAATTTGAAATGAATAAATAGCAACTTCAACGTCTACCATATCATCAATGTTGTCATTGTGATCGATAGCTATATTGTGCAATACAGCACAGGCCACAACAATGTTCATGGCTGTATCTAGTTTTACCCTTAGTCCCATAGATAGGCAGGGAAAACGTCTCTTTAATACCCCGAAACATCTCTCTATGGGATTTCTTGTTGATACTTGTTCTTTATTGTAAGCTTCCTCACCATTTGTTCTAGGCTGCAAAAATGGAGTCAAAAGGTAACTTCTACAAGGGTATCCACTATCTCCCAAGAGAAAATCTTTCCCATATATATCACTCTCGAAATCGGCACGTATGTGGCTATCATTGAAAATAGTTGTGTCGTGCACAGAACCAGGCCATCTACAAATGATATCTTGAATCCTTAGCTGTGAATCACATATAGCTTGAGTATTCAAAGAGAAGTATCCTTTTCTATTCCTGAACAGTTCTGCTTGTGGGCCTCCAACTTATTGAATTTTGACGTGGGTACAATCAACAGCACCTATTACGTTTGGAAAATTAGCCAACGCATAAAACCCAGATTTAACACTCAGGCGCTCCTCTGCTGTTGCTGGCATCTTTATAAAAACTGGCCTTAACCTAGCTATCGCTAGAGATATTCTCTTAATGATTCGACATTCTGTTGATTTGTGCACTATCACACTATCAGCTACAGTCACTTGGAATCCTCCAATAGCATAAAAGCTGATTGTCAGTAAAATCTGCTCAATGGCACTAATAAATTTGTTTCGTTTGGTTGTTGGTTCCATACCATCTATTAGTCCCACTATTCTGTCACAACTTCCTTGGATACTCTGTAGCGTTGTTTAAATTCACTATCACTGTAGTGTGTCATTGGATTCATCCTGGTTCTGTGATTAACCCAGGGGATGTCATTTTCCTCCTCGCTCGACAATGAAAGGTCAGAAATATCAGAGATGTATATTTAATTTTAAAAATCTAAATTATAATTAAATAACTAATAATTATAATTAAAAACTAAAAAACTCTTTATTTAATAACTATTTAACCTATATAATAACTATACAAACTCTATTTAATAATTAAAAACTCTATTTAATGACTAAAAACAACTCTTTATAAATATTAACAGCCCTTTAATCATCCAATAACTTCAAATTAGGTGACAGTCGATTTTAACAGTCGTTTGACATGCGAAACTAGTTAATCGGCGTTTCAGAATCTCAAAACACATATGATCAACTGTTAACTAACGATTAATCGTTTGTTTTGTTAAATTAGGTGATCGACTGTTGTTGAATGTAGTTTGATTGACGTTTCTGAAACTCAAAATGCGTTTGATCAACGATTAACCATCGATTACATAATTTTTGAGATGATCATCCTTTCGGAAACCGGCTGTAGAAGTGGCTGGAAATTACTATACAACCAAACACACGTGCGCATAGCCAGCAGCGCACCTAGAATTTTCCTCTGGGGGTGGGGGTTTGGTTGGGCAACGAATTTTTTTTATGCTACCTCCATTATTTTAAGACCTTAAAATTTGTAAATAACAGTGTCGGAATAGGGTCCTGGGAAATAGCGCAATATATTAGAGTATTTCGTTGACCTCTTTTGCAAACTTATACTATGACTCATGATACTATGACTAAGAAGATAAGATATTGCGCATAAGTCATTGGAGAGTTGCACGTTCGAAATGTCAGTTTTTTGTATGTATCAATAAATAATCTTTAATAATGTGTACGATTATTGTAATTATTAAACCTCTTACCTTATTTTCGTCTAGTAATTTCTTCACAGAATGCATACAAATCCCATTTATCTTTAACAAGAATTCAAATTCTACTCTCCAATGACGGCATGCGCGAACACAACCGATTTTGTGCTACGGGAAGATCCTATCTTGTTAGTCATAGAATCATGCTATGACTTAGAAATTCATAGCATGTATAAAAAAAAAGTAAGTTTCTATTATATATAAAAAATATATTTTATAAAAAAGTTACGGTAATTTAGTTTATATCGTTAGGCTGCGCCAAATGTAGGCAACCAACTTAAACTTTTTGTTAGCATTTAGGTGGAGTTTCTTCAGAATCTATTTAGTAAACGTTTAATATTTTCTAGTTAATTTATAATTTTTTTAAGTGATGATAATAATGCTGAATAAGCAATATTTCAAATGATATATAATCATAAGACGTACTTAATAATATGTTATATAATCCTCATAATAAAGTACGTTAGGTAAAAAATATCATAATATTCATATTATAATTAAAAAATATAATTAAAAAGTATCATAATACTCTGTTATTGCTAGCAACAACTAATTTTGGGCGATCCGGGATTTTACCATTTTATCTATCTAATGAGGATTAAATAACACAATATTAAGTACGTTTTGTGATTAAATATCATTTAAAATATTGCTTATTCAGCATTATTATTATCACTTAAATAATAAATTAACTGGAAAATATTAAATGTTTATTAAAAACATTCTCAAGAAACTCCAGCTAAATGCTAACAAAAAGTTTAAGTTGGTTGCCTACATTTGGAGCAACTTAACGATATAAACTAAATTACTGTAATGCTGTTTATAAAATTTATTTTTTATATACATATAATATAATTTTATATATAATAAAAGCTGTATACATGCTATAAATTTCTAAACGAATTTAATTTTTGACTCCATGTCAAACCGAACTGGATGTTAACTGAAATGTTTTTGTTATTAAGAACATATTTACATAATTTCATAAATATATTTTAGTGATCAACCTACCCATCTAAAAATATTAACTTTTAAAGAAAATTTATCATATTTATTTAAGAAAAACTTACCAACGCATTATCTGATAGAACAATTGGAAAACTTTGACTATCACTAATAATAAAATTCAAAATAGAACTATAACTAAATAAACTAAATAGAACTAACAAAGAATTAAACTAAAATATTAGAATAATAAAACTATATTAGCTAAAATAAACAGCACGAATAATACAAATATTTACTATAATATAATATTAAATTGTAACAACTTAAATATTATATTTTAAATATACAGGGAAAATTTGATGGGTTTAGTATACACTTCCACTTGTAACAAAAATGCTTTGTGCACCAATGTAATAAAAATGTGACGACTGAGAGGTTTAGGATGCCAATGTACTAAGAGTGTCTATGTATAATGTAACACAAGTATTTGGGCTAATATAAAAGATAACATATAATTTAAAGCAGGCCAGCAGACGTTGCCGGAGAGTGACTACTGGACACTCAAAAGAGGATTCTTCCAATTTGCATGCCGTACAGAGACCGTAGAATAAGAAAATAAATGACAAGGTAATAAAAAACACCTATAGGTATATAAATAATGCAAAATAAAGTGATTATAGAAGTTGCTCCTAAAAGTGAATGGGCGCCAGGAAAGTTTTTATATAAACTTTCCAAGGTATCTTGTAAAGCTGTTTGCCTAAATAAAGAGGGAAACAGGTATTAATTGAAATATTTAGTTTTCACCAAAACTTTAATCCCTAGAATAAATTTATCTTAAAATACCCACCACCAATTATATACAGTTAATCTAGTTTCTTATATACAAAAAGAATATAAATACCCTGGTTACACACAACTGATCCTTGATAATTTAAATTTATAAATTATAAAATATAAGAATATATTTAATGATAATGATAATTGATCAAAATTTACAAAAATAATATAGGAAAAATTTTAATGATTTAACAAGTAATAAGGACAATATCCTGAAGAGACAAATGTTCAAAGGTTTAAATATTTAATAAAAATAAAATCTTAATAAATAACTCTCTGATTAAATGTGCAAGAAACCATACAAATGAGTTAAAAGGGAGGATTTAAGATTTCAACCTACTTAGTATCTAAATATAATTAAGTATTATTTCAGGAAAAAATGATGGTTTTTTTATATTATTAAGTAAAAATAGTATGATTAAACGTTCAAAACAAAAAATATTATATATAAAAAATTAAAGCTAATAAATAAACTTAATCCAGGTTTACTATATTTTAAAGGGAGATAATTCCCGCTGATTTCTTAAAAATTGTTTGGTAATCAAAAGGTCAGATCTGGACCTCTGGGGAGCAGCTACGGCAAAAAACAGGCCTGGAACCAGGTGTAACCGGACTAGGTTTCAATTTAATCCTTCTTCTTTAAAAAATTATTCCAAAAAAAAACAAAAGCAACAAATTCTTCCCCCGACTTCTGTTTGACTCTCAAAGGTAGGCTAAAAACATTTGTTTTTACAGTTCTTTCTTATTCTTGAGACAGAGTAGGGAAAAACACAAAGTTTATGAACCTGGAAAGGTTAGGTTAGGTTAGGTTATAAAGGTTACTTATGAAGTGTGAAAGCAAAAAAACTTATATTTCAAGTAAAATGGATTAATTATATTGGCAATTTTAACGAGAACCATGATATGGATTATAATATATTTTATAATATAAAGAACAGTATAAGACAGAATATTTTTAACGATAGATAATTATGTTTTTAAGGCCGGGACGTAAAATTAAAATACATATGATTTTATATCAATTAACACTTTCGATTTATTATTTGATACCTTTGATACTTGAAACCCAACGCTGATGGGTTTTATTTTTTCCGTTTTATTGATAATTTTATAAACTTACCGGATCAACGTGGCTTTAAAACAAACAGGACACTTATAAAAAAACCCCAAACTAAAACTTCTCTAATACTTCCTCTTCATAAATAAAAACTTTAAACTTCAAAAAAAAACCTTTTGTAAGCCGTCTCTCTCCCCTACCTTTAAACTTAAGTGCCTTTCACGAACGTCGAAACAGAAGTAATCGGTAGTGGCTTGTTTTGAGCCAGCTAAACTATGGTTGCAAACCTGAACGCTTGGTGTTGCAAGAGTATTTGACTTTTTAAGGATTATTAAAGTAACGGACTCGTTACACACTATTTAGAATAATTCTTCTTTAAAAAAAAAGGAGTCTGCAATAGTAGTATACTTGAGCTATAAATACTGAGAAGTAGGAATTGTTATGTTGTAGGTTTTCGACAATGAATCTGTCAAAATATGCCCGAGCTAAGCGAATGGAGTATAGATGATATTTTCACTATACATTTACAAATTAATTAGAAGAATACAAAAACAATTAATTTGATTTATATAAGAAGTACTTACTTCAATTGTGCTAACCGACTATTTCTTCGTTTTACACTAACACATTGTACCAACGTCCCATATATTTAAATTATGCAAATAAAGAATAACTATACAACGCAACTCGTGCTAAACCGATTCTGAAAAAGTTAGATACAGACAGTTTTAAAACGTTCATATCAGTGAGAATTTTACTACACGTAATTTGCTGTGTAAAGACACAGAGTCATAAACAATCAGAGTGCCCACTCTCTATGGAAAATTAAGTACGCGCATCTCCTTCGTGCAAACGTTCCGCCATGTTTTAGAGAGAACCAGTGTTGTTTATGTGGTGTACATAGAAAAATTAACCCGGTTTAATTGACTTACGGCAATCATAGACGTACTATACAATTATATTAACATTGTTAAATATAATAACATAAATATAATATAATTAAACATAAATATAAACAATTACATAACCTCACAAATCATATGTCTGTGTTACGTGTTTCCTTCTAAAACATGGCGCGGGTGCTGAAAAACTTCAAAGGCGGTATCTGAGAGTGGACATTCTGATTGTTTATTATTCTGTGGTAAAGACTAGGGATAAGAGAACCAGTGTCGATTTGCTCCGTCTAAAATTTGCGCCTACGCTCTTAAAATGTCTGAAACATGTCAGTTCAAACACAAGAAAATCCCAAAGATAATGAATATTTGCAAAAGTAACCAAAAATGGACTAAAATCTTACTACAGGACTTGATATTCTTAATTTATTTTTTAATTATTGATCAATTGAATTTTAATCTTGTTTTTTAGTTTTTGTAAGAGCAAATTTGCTGTTTGTATTTTGAGAACGATTTCCGAATTGGAAATTGAAACGTCAATAAACGTATTTTTATCTTTAATTGTGGCTTATTCCCAGTTATAAATAGTAATTAATTTTTTTTTCTTGTATCGTTTCCTATAACATACATTTTTTTCAACAAAATTTATGGTAAAAAAATAATTTGGTCCGGAAAGGGTTAATTGTGGCTTATTCCCATGTAAATAGTAATTATTTACGGATTTTGTCAAGATATGTCTGTATGCTTATTAATACGTTGTTCTTTTAGGTTGACCGCAGGGGAAAAATCTCGTTGGGTAGAGATTATGGAGGAAAAAGAACTAGGTGCAAAAGATGACAAAATGACCACAAGATGGAAAATGTTTCTAGATAGTTGCCGTGTAAGATTTTTAACATCTTTTATTTTCTTTTATAAGCTACTAAACATACTTCTAAGCTTCTGCTTGCTGATAGAAATACTTGAAAATTATTGTTTTCATTATTCTTTCAAGAATACGTTGCAAACTCGAATTATTTTATTCTTCTTGAAATGATATTTCCTAGACGTTCCCTTCTTAGTGCCTCTTCCAGTACAGACCCTTCGATATTATGGCTTAGGTCACGAAACACAAGATAAAATAAAGTTCTTTTGCCTTTGATACTGCAACTTCCAAAAACTTGTGCAAAACTTGTCACATTCGTCTTCAGAAAAACTTGTTGAACATTAAAACTTACAGTTTTGGCAGTTGACTTTTTGTGGTTTTTTTGGGCTTTTAATACTAGTTTTGCTTATGTAGGGCATACATAACGATCTGTTTGTTTGCTAATATTCTTCTTCTATTTTTCCGGATAAGCTTTTTTCCATCTTGGTTTTATTACTAATACTTCATCCTTGCTACGTCGATCTTCACTTACAATGTAATTATCATCACTTTCTACTCCAAATGGTTCTTATTCAGTATCACTCGATTTATCAAGTAAATGTGTTGTAGATTCAGCATCTACATGGAATTTGGTAGTTATTCTGTTGATTGCCACCTCTTGAAATATTATTGAGTTTAGTTCCATGACAGTTATCGATCGTTGGATATCATGTTGCCTACCATATTCGCTATCGTGACTTTATTGACAGCAGCTCTAAATAACGATGTAGTTGATTTTTCATATCATTGCCTTAGATTTTTCAGCCATGATGTTCTTCTTCTACCAGGACCACGATTACCTTAGATCTTTCCCTGAGTGATCAGATGTAAAAGATCATATTTTTCAGGGTGTCTCATAATGAAGTATTCCAGCTTGCGTTTCTTTATTATATTGACCAGTTGTGTTGTTTGGTTCAGCCGTCTAAGAACCTTCTCATTTCTAACGCTGTCGACCTAGCTTATTTTTAGTAGCCGTCTGTATACCCACATCTCAAAGGCTGTCAAGCGTTTAAGGATAGCGTCAGTTAGAGTCTACGCTTCCACTCCATAAAGCAGGACAGGAAAGATGTAGCAAGATGTCATACGAACTCTAAGGTCAATGCTAAGATCGTGACTGCAAAGTACGTTTTTCATTTTTACAAAAGCAGCTCGGGCTTGTTCTATTTGGCTTTTAATTTCCGCGGTTGGATCCCAGCTCTCATTGATATTACTGCCGAGATACACGAGTTTTTCTACTCTGTCCGGTGTGGCATCTCCAACTTTTAATCCATACTGATTACAAGTCTGTTTTATTTTGTTCATTACATTTTGAAGGTCTTCTCCGCAATTAGCAAGCACTAAGGTAACGTAAGCATATCTAATATTGTTGACGGTTACTCCATTCACAATAATACCTTTGGTTGTCTTCATTAAGGCTTGCTTAAATATTTCCTTCGAATATAAGTTAAAAAGTAAAGGCGACAATATACGGCCTTGTCTCACTCCTCTTTTTATATTTATTTCATCCGAAAACATCGAAAACATCGATAATATCTAATAATGTCACTCGTATATTTATATAAAACAGCATCTTCGGCAAACATGAAATACTTTATTAAAAATAAATCATATTATAGGTAAAATAAAAAGTATTAATCTAACCTATAACCTAACTTTTGATACATATCAATAATTACATACCTTTAATGTTTGTAATATTTACTGCACTTTCATTTGTTGTATTTGTTGCACACAAGTAGGTTATATATTTCCCCCTATAACACATTTTTTAAATTTTCCTTGCGTTAGAACAATGATATGACACAAAATTACGTATACTTGTACATAACGTCTACTAAGTTAAATTGACCAGACAAGTTTAACAACAACTGCCTATCTACCGAAAAAAGTGACCAAGTCGCCTTGGTCAGTTTTTGCAGTAGCGAATAACTTAAACATTCTAAGGCATACCTGAAACTAGGCAACCATATTTATATTGCCACTTGGACATTTTTTATTGTAAAGATATTATAATTTTAAGTCATTTGATCAATTTTTTTTAACCTATTCTCTATCCTTCCATTGTTGGATATAGGTCTCCCCCAGTTCTCTCCATCTTTCCCTATCCTGAGCTGTTCTCTGCCATGTGGGTCCTCCTTGTTTCCTGATGTCATCTTTCCACCTCATCTGTAGTCTGCCTCTTGATCTCTTTGCGTTGTATGGACGCCACTTTCCGATGGCATTGTTCCATCGTCCGTCTTGGAGACGTTCATTGTGTCCAGCCCATTTCCATTTCAGTTTTGCCGCTTGTTCTATCGCGTCTACTGTCTTTGTTCTGGTTCTGATCCACTGGTTACGTTTTCTATCTTTAAGTGATATACATAACATTTGTCTCTCCATCGCTCTTTGTGCCTTCCTTATCCTATCCAAATTGGCCTGTGTAAATGTCCATGTCTGTGCTCCGTAGGTAAGCACCGGTATTATACAGGAGTTATATACCTTGCTTCGTAAGTATAGAGGGATTCTTTGATTTTTTTAGAACGTAAGAAAGTTTGCCGAACGCTGCCCATTCCGTTCTTACTCGTCTCGATATTTCGGCTGTTTGATTTTCTCTGTTAGCTCTGATTGCTTGTCCTAGATAGATATACTCATTTCATTTTGATCAATAAACATCAAAATCAGACTTTTTTTGACTTGGTCAGTTTTGGCAGTATGCCGACGATATGTGTTTTTCCATATAATATTACTCAAGTATGTAGATATGCTGGCTGCCTTTTTGACTTGATTTTTTACTTTTACTTGATAGGACTCCTAGCTATAGCTTTTTTACTCCTATTAAGTTCCCTGATTAGTGCTTTAGTTCAAGAAGCAATGACACCTTTGTCTTCTTATCCATAATTCTCGAGTAATAATAATAATTTCATCATGCTGATCAGAAATTGACTGTTATATATAAAAGACGTTATTAAAACTTTGAAATATTAAAGACATGTTTGCATTCAGTAGAAAATTTTTAATTTTTTTATTCTTCTTTAAAAATGTTTTTAAAATATTGTAAAAAAAATAAGTTAATACTTTTAATTAAATATACTATTTAAGACAATAAATTTAGATGTAAATGCAAATAACTAAACAATTTTTAGGAAAGTTTTCCAGACTTAACAGCAGTTAGTGAAAAAATCAAACAGGATAAACTACGCATAGGAATCGTTCGCAAAACATTTAATTTGGAAGATGTTGATCCTGAGCTGGCAATAGATGTAATCATTTTAAAAACTTTCGACGCTTTAACGTCTTATGAACAACTTTTACTAAAGTGTAGTGCAGTGTTGGGTGATACATTTCCCATGGATATGTTACTTTATATAATGTCTTCATCGGCAATACGAACTACGGCTTTAGGTGAGTATATATATATATATATATATATATATATATATATATATATATTTATATTTATATATATATATATATATATATATATATATATATATATATATATATATATAACAATGACTTTAATATTGTTGATTCCTTTAACTTTAGTGAATAAATTAACAATTTTCAACTACCACAAGGTTACATTTTAGTAAGTTTTGATGTGGTGTCTCTCTTCACTAACTTACCTCTGTCCAGTGTAATCACTTCCTTAAAAAATCATTGGAATTCTATTAAACCTAACTGCCCTGTGTCTTGGGATATATTTGCAGAACTGTTGCAACTTGTTTTCGACACTAATTTCTTGGTCTTTGATGACAAATTTTACCTTCAAACATTTGGTACACCTATGGGTTCCTCAATCTCTCCCATCCTAGTTAACTTTGTATTGGATGATTTGGTTTCTGACCGTTTAGGTCTTTTGGATTTTCAAATCCTTTTTATTAAGAGGTATGTGGATGATTTATTATTAGCCCTACCACCTACCAAGGTTCAGGGTACCTTATCCTTCTTTAATGAGTTTGATCCTCATTTACAGTTCACTGTTGAACTTGAGGACACTACCACCAATAGTATACCCTTCCTAGACATGCGTGTCATTAGAATGGGAGACAACACCCTAACCACAAGTTGGTATAGAAAACCAATGGCCTCTAATAGGTTCCTTAATTACCATTCCTGTCATCCCATGAAATATAAATTAAAACTTATAAAAGCTTTGAGCTACAGATTAAATAAATTGACACATCCAATTAATCGAAGGGAATCCTTTAAGTTATTGAGAAATATTCTAATAGAGAATTCATATCCTTCCTCTATCAGTAATAAATACCTTTATTCACACAGCTATGTATCCTCAATTTATGACATACCCGATGGTGACCAACTTAGAAACATCTCAAATAATTCAATAAATAGCATTGTTCTGCATAATACTGATCTTGAGAATACTACCACCCATTATTCTTCTTTACCTTATTTCCCTCAAGTTACTGAGAAGCTTATTAAATTGTATAAACAGAATAATATACCGGTTAAAATTGCTGTTAAGAATGCTAAAACTGTTAGAAATTTGTTCTCTAAAACTAAAACACCCTTGTCCACTTTGGAACAAGTTAACATAATTTATAAAATTCCATGCGCTAATTGCGATTTATGTTACATTGGTCAAACTGGTAGATCATTAAAAGGTCGTCTCACTTCACATCGTAGTGACATTAATTTATCAAAACACACTTGTGCCCTGGCACAACACGCGATAAATACCAAACATGAAGTGGATTTCAATGAAGTTAAGATCCTTGCCACAGAACGCAATCTAGCTAAAAGACAGTTTTTGGAAATGTGTTCAATACTAAAACACCCTAATGCTTTGAATAAGAGAACGGACATAAGTAACTTGAGCCAAATATATCATGCTTTAATTTTGCAGAATTAGGCTTCTTGATCTTTTCACTATATTAAATGTCATATTAGGTGTACTACTTGAACCTTTTTTCCATTTTTCATAAAATAATTTATATACATAAAACAGAAATAAAATACATAAAATAATTAAATAAAATAATTAAATATTCTTTACTTAACTTATTATTACATATGCATATCTCCTGTTATTATGCTATTATCTCCTGTTTGTAAATCTAGGCTGATTAGTGAGAGGAGTTGCTATTACAATACCAATTTTTTTCACTGTTTTGTCTTTTACAACCGGGTAGTCATCCAAACTCATTTAAACTTTTAAATTGACCGCTCAATTATTTGGGTTGGTACCTCCACCTTGCTGATCTGTCAAAAGTATTTTGACATCAAGGTTGGCTGTCTTTTCGCGGTTTAGTTCGTTCCGGTTCATCTAACGCCATTTTTCCGGCGACACTTGTAGGGCTTTGATCGGTAACTTCATTTACACTACTTTTATAATTTTTATTAATATCACTTATAATGCTACCTAAAGTTAAAATCAAAGCTTAATAATCATAAAATAGTTGGAAGGTATCTATGATTTTCTTAGTTCTTGCTTACTAATTAACATTAAATAGCATTTAATTTACTTTAGACCACATGGTCATTTGCTGTGCTAATTTTTATAAGTTCATATATGTTGTTAGTTACTTAATTGTTTATACAAGATCAAGGTATTATGTCCATTTACTTAAGTTTCATTCACATTATTGTTAATAACATTGACTGCTACATGTCTTTTTAAGGTAACAATTAACATTGTTTCCATGATTGTGTGGTTCTCATATTGTACTTTTTTAGATGAACTGATGATGCTTTCAAAACTCGAAAGCGAACGTCTTCAAAATAGATAAAGTAGCCTATCAACTTTGTCTTTTATTTCTCCACCTAGAGACCGATATAAGAACCCACCACTCGTCTGAGTGATCCTTATATATATATATATATATATATATATATATATATATATATATATATATATATATATATATATATATATATATATATATATATATATATAAAGTTTGTCATAATCAAAATCGAATTTTGGTCTGATAGTTTCCTTCATTTTCTTTGTTTTTAATTCTTAGAAAACTCGTCTTCAGATATAATGCTGCTGTTTTGTTTCAATTATTTTGATTTTTTTCCAGTATTTTTATTATTTTCGCAATCTGTAAAATTTCGTTTCATGCTTCCGCTTTTTGCTTCAACTCCTTTTTTTTAGCATCTTGCAGGATATCTTTAATTGGTGTCGAAGTCAGGATAATAGAATGTTGCTTTTTGTGCTGACCTTTTTCTTTAGAATCGATTCTGTTAGTTCGCATTGGTGAAACGTCAAAAATGCTTTTTGAAAAAGCCATTTAAAAATCAAATCTATTTTCCTGACGATGTCCCCGGTTGACTACGATTAATAATATCGATAGCAATGGCAGTAGCAGGACTTTCAGGAGGATGTTTATCAATAGGTGCCTCATTAGTAAAGGTATCATTGAGTTTTTCAGAATTTTTTTCCTTGTTCTTAGCAATTATTTGCTCTATGACTGAATGGAACTGAACGGAATAATTCCACATGCTTTGAATACTGCCACTGCCTTTTCAAGTGTAGCAACCCTCAAGTGAGCTTTGCTGATTATCGGAGCAATATCGTATGAAGCGATTTTTTGATGAACATTTGGTTTCATAAAATTATCACACTCCTTATTGAACGCATTCATAAGAGGCCCGTAGAAAGATACATCTAAGGGCTGAAGTATGTGCGAGGAATAGGGTGGAAGCGACACAACGTGAATGTGGTTTGAACGGCAAAAGTCATAAAATGGCAAAGAAATATGGGTTCCATGATTATCCATTAATAGAAGGACAGGGACCTCTTCACTTGATTTAGTGGTTCTCTTTAAATATTTCAACCAATCTAAAGATAAATCTTTGTTGGACTACCCATTGTGTGAACATCTATAAATGGCTTCAGGAGGTCCCCCTCGCTACAACAAAGGTGACATCCATCTCCTTGGATAAATAAACATTGGGGGCGGATATATTCCTAAAGCGCTCACGTCACACACTGCAGTGATATTCTTGCCACGCTCTCAAATCGTAACTCCTAGCATTTGCTTCTATCTTCTTTGTGCAAGAATTTTTCTCGGTTTTTGTACTGTGGAAATTCCAATTTCGTCCATATTATGAATACAGTCCGGTGGAAAGTTATACTTTGTCATTACAGTGTCTAAATTTTTGTAAAACAAATCAACTTCGTCTTTATTAAATGCTTAGACCCTGTTCAAGCTTGTGGCTTTCGGTTTTGTTAAACTAATTTTATGCCTGCTAATAAACCCATTTAACCAATCTATCCCGGCCAACTTGGTCTCTTTGCTAAAGTTGTGTTTGATTTGATATTTTTCGGCCAATTCGAAAGCCAGTCGTCTAAGCTCATTTTTAGTGATGCCATGAAATAGTTTTGATAGGCCAACCACATGCTCTGCTAAGTTTTGTTCTTGCTCTACAGAAAAAACGCATTTCCGACCCAATCTTGGCTTACTTCCATCGTTTGCCATTAGCCCATACCTTAATGTTGTTTGGGGTACATTGTAGCTGCTTTTTTTTGCAAGACACCATTTTGGCGAACTGCTTCATTAGCATTTTTGAGGTTTTCCTCCTTCCATATAGCCTTTTCTGTTGTTTTTTTACGTGATCGTACCACCTGAAAATCACAAAAAAAAATGCATTGTTAATCTTTCATTTCAATAAGAAAATACGGGGCTATACCGTCATGGCAGCATTAACCCGAACTAAAGTAACGGAATTAGGTACCCATCGAGAACAACATGGTGGATGTATCAGTACATACTACAAACAATAACCAAACATTTAAAAGAAATCTCACCGAAAAGTATCTAAGGTATCTTATTCTTAAAGGACATGTTCAACAAACCAGTTAAGAACCTTATTATCACACTTACCTTGAGTTATAAATAAGGCAGAGTAAGTAGAAATATGAAAGTATTACGGTTTTACTGATATTCGCACGAACTAACCTTGAAAGCGGCAATAGCGTACATATTAAGTGAAAAATACTCGGTGACGGAATTGCCCCGTTCTCCCCTATAGATAGAAAATATGGATACGTTTTATGTATAAAATTTAGTTTATTTTTTAACTTAAGTTGATACCTTCATGTATTTTTTGATAATTATTAAAAATAAGATTCTTTTTTTATCATTTTTGTAGCTGTAAAGAAACTATTTGAAATTCATGTTCTCAGCTGTGCCAAAGGTGATTTTATTGAAGGTGGTCTTGATTTTAAAGAAAGACTGAAAGACCCTAATGCTGATATGGAAGTTCAATGCGACTGCAAAGGGTTAATAATTGATGGTAGGTTATTTTATGATCCCAATAACGGGACTTTTTCTTTTTTTATCAAATTGTGTTACTATTAGGGTTTTAGATTAAAGGTTACATTAAATAAAATCTTCATTACCCATTTATATTAAACATTATGTCGGTAATAACATTAAAGGTATGGGTTATATCAATATCGTTTAATTTTATAAAGTAATTTTTTTGTATTTAGACAAAGTAAGCGTTGTGAATGACTTATTCCAGTTCTTTCTCAGGTCCTGACAATATAAGTTTATGTATTTCCAGCCTAATTATATCTTTTACAAATCAAATACTATAAAAAACTATTTTAGCACTGTGGCAAATTGTCAAAATTGTTTTAGTTTCCCAAATCTCTCCCAAACATTAGTAACTTTGGCCGTATTTTGGTATATTTCAGTCTTGTTTCTATATTCGAAGACATCGACCCTACGTCGTTTTCTCAATGTATTATTTACCAATAGATACTAGTTTATAGAAATTGGTGAAAAAGTTGTGTTTTGGAGACAGAAAAGTAATATATAATACGTATCTTAAAAATATCGAAATAAATACAGTGATCCAAAAATATAAGAAGTTTCAAATATATCCTATTGCAGTAAATAATTGTTTGTCACTAGAAAACTAGGGCACACGTATTAAATAACATGCGTACCTTGTCTCAAAATACTCTGGTTACAATGCAAGATTAACCTTGTAGATTCAGCAGTGTTATAAACAAATTTGGCCTAATAACGAGTCGATATCTAATGGAATCCTGATGTTTCTAAAACACGCTATTAATTAAATAAGTAATGTCATCTACTATAAGTCTCCCGTTGTAAATAGAAGTGAATAAATACGATATATCACAAGTTAATATATATTTACCAATCCTCTCCCAAATAGTCAAGATGTAGTTGTGTAAGAAATATCGCCAATTCAATTAGGAATTAATATGATGACGATACGAGTTAAAGATAGTGCAAGCACTCCTGACCATGGAGCTGCGCGAAGGCGAAGTCAAAAGTTACGTAAAGACAGAAAGGTTCTGGACCAAAGGTTTGGTTCTGAACAAAGGATTGGTAGTGGAATTATACAGTGCAAAGTATAATGCGTTTCGCATGGAAGTGGGGACTAAACCAAATTTCGTCTACTGCGCCGTGGTCAGGAGTGCTAGCACTATCTCTACGAGTTATATCCATGCAATTATAATAAACAGGAAACGAGAGTTGTCTTGGACCACCTTCGATTCATATAAATAATGATAGTCATATTAATGCTAGTTCAATGGATGCAATATCTGAATCGTTCTCCGATTTTCAAAGTGGACATTGGAACGTCAATAAACTTACTATAACCATTAATTGTGGCTTATTCCCTTTTAAATAGTAATAGTGTTATAGATTATATGCTATGGTCAGCTCAACGACAAAAAGGCCACAAACAACGATTACAAATGGATAGATGACCTAAAGACTCATTACGGTTTGAGATAGATAAATATCGTTCGTCATAGAAATAATGGATAAAAAAAAGGAAGGCCCGAGACCAAAATTTGACATATAGAGGTTAATAGGTAGATAGATACATTTTACATATTGTTATTGCACCAGTTGTACTTCACTATTGCGTTTGGAGAATTGTTCACTTTAAAATTGAATTGCTTTCATCGGTCAAGATACGCCTAAAAAACCGTTGCTATATTATTAAAAATATTGAGAATATTACAAAATAACATAATGTCTAGGAGTATTTATAATGCAGGCCATTCACGTTCCGACTTGTGGTACGACTAGTGGTCCAACTGCTGCAGTTGGATCTGAAATCGGACTGTGAGTGGGCTAGTTGGATTATTTGGACAACTAGTGGTACAAGTCGGAACATCTAGTGGGACGATTTGAAGATCCGACTTCCAACTAGCGACGAAGTCGAAGCGTGAATGGTGAAGTTGGAAGTCGGATCGCAGGTTGGATAGAAAATTTCCTCAGTCAGTTGACCTTCGGCACCTGTTACGTATTAGATTTTCATAAAATTACGTATTAGATTTCCATAGTTCGCAAAAAAATAATAGAAAATAACTTTCAATTGCACCAAAAATTATTCCTAATAAAAATATACGACACACACACAACAAAATAAATCTCAACTCCAGTTTAAAAATATACCTCAACTCGAGTTGTTATCAACAGGTCCTCGAAGACACTTCGTCTCAGGACCATTTTACCTATGTAGGGTCATACGTCGCCATGTTACCAATTCCAACGGTAACTTAAACATCATAATTTGTAACCACATATAATGTAAATCAAATGTAAATTTATATCATTTAAAGGGTTTGGACCCATATATTTTGGTGGCTCATAGCATTTATGCCTCGTTTGCACTGATGATGGATTTAATAATCCGAAAACGTTTTGCAATATCTTTGTGATAGCCCGTTCGGGCATTTTATTATATACCTTTTATAAAGGATTTTAAATAAATTTTTTGTGATATATGGTATACAGCCAGCTACAGGAACTTAGTTTCCTAGTGGAATTTTATTAATTATCTGACAGCTGGGAAACTGTTCTTCGCCTGATGAATGTGAATGCCGGCGCCATATTTCTATTAAAGAATATTTTGTATGACGGATTGTTCGGTTCGGCGCCAGGACTGTGACGAGACGTGACTGATGTGTCTGAATCGACCTTAAGTGGGACCACAAGTCGGAACGTGAATGGCCTGTCTAAGCGAGAATTATCTGAAGTCATAAACAGAATATAGTTTTTTACCACAATTTTATTTCTTGGATTTTGTAGAAACTGCAACGATATTTTAAAGTTACTTTATTTAAGTGGCGGCCACAACAACGCACAACACATCTCACTGCACCTAGCCCTGACCAAAGCCTCGCTGAAGCAAAGTAAATACAAGCAATGCCGTAAATGCGCGTGGCCACAACGACGCACCGCTCCTTCCTTTGCACATCGCTGGGTACCAACGCGTCGCCTACCTAAATTGAGCTTAAGTCTGTTTTAGACTATAACATAAAATGATATAAGAAAATGATATAACAAGAACTTACATGAAATGATTGTGTACAATATTAATATAAGAAGTTTTGTGTATTACATTGTCACATTTTGGTATCAAAATATGTTATGTGATTCTGCGCATTACGTGCTAAAACAGTCCTTTTTTAAAATTATTATGTTGTTGTACATGTACTGTTAACCTCAATGTTCTTATTCTTCATTTTGTTATCGTAACGTAACCTCATTTTCTCCAACATTTAACCTAGTTTTTTACCCACGTAAATACCTAATTAGTTTTACCCTCGTTTTACTTTTGCTTTAACAAAGACATATATATTTATGATGGATAAGAAAATTCTCCTATTATCTGCTGATTCCATTACGACATTTCCTTTAATTCAGACAAGCAAGAAAAAAGGCCAACGAAATATGTGGCCTAGAGCTGGCTTCAAAAAAGACAGGAAGGTCGTGTTGTTTTAAGTATGTTGTAAACTGAATTAAAAGACAATGATTCTGAAAAATATAGACAATTTTTAAGAATGTGTAAGCCACAATTTAATGAACTTCTTGAACTTATTCGAGAAGATATTACCAAATAGGATACAAAATTGTAACTGCGCATGCGTGTATACTAATAATTGGTATCAAAATAGGACATGTTCTAATTTCTATAACATTTTTTGTTAACAGATTTTGTTTTCTGTTTTACATTATGACAAAACTTAGTATACCATTTTCTTATATCATTTTATGTTATAGTCTAAAACAGTCTTTAGTATTTTCTGATCTTCGCACATCGCACAGTGATTGGGATTATTATAGGGATGGATAAAGACAAATTAATTAGTTGTGTGTTTACGCGAGTTATGGAAGCCGGCCCTGTTCCAGTCATTCGCCTAAGAATGATGATCTAGGATTTCTGTTTTAATGAACTTTGCAATCTGATTAGTTTACATTTTTATATTTACTTAGATATCATTTTTACCATTGCGTTTTTAATTAAATATACTTCAGTCTGTATTTAAACTTCAAAGAAAGCACATTATAATTTTATATAAAAATTGTCCGATCTTTTTACGTATTTTTGTAACCAATTAATAAAGTAATTATTTTTTAAAAATAGTTTTGCCTAAGAGAAAACTATAAGTGGCGCAGTCAGTAGGATTTTCGGGAAAATCCATCGCGGAAAGTTCTTTGGGTTTCAACCCTTCGCGAAAATCGAGAACCAATATCCCAGTTTTGCCAGTGAACTCCATCGAGGAAGACAGTGTGCAGTACGGATGTGGTAAGTAATTTTTGTTTATGTCAGACTCCTCTTCTGAAAACGAATCCTTTAGCGAAATCGATACTAACGAAGAGTTAGGCTTAATTAATAATTTTTGTAAATTAGAATTAAAAGATAAAATGTCAACACCTGTTCTAGATATGAAAACTTTCTCAATTATTCCAAATTTTGATGGAAATATTAATAAACTTCACAGATTTGTAAATGCAACTGAATCCATTTTAAATCATTATTTTGATAGGAATAATCTAGCCAGTTTTCAAAATGTTTTATTGTTAAATGGTATTCTTAATAAATTAGAAGGCAAAGCAGAAGAAATAGTAGCCATAAGCGGCGCTAAAACTTGGCCAGATATAAAAAATACTTTGATTCAGAATTTTGGTGATCATCGTGATGAAAATTGCTTGAATCAAGATTTAGTAAATATGAAACAGAAACCTAATGAATCTCCATATTCTTTTCATGAAAGACTTTTAACTTTATTAAATGCTAGTTGTAATTATATTGATTTACACTATATTAATCAGGAACGTGAATCTAAAAGAGCTTTCTTTACGAAGCAGGCTTTAAAATCATTTTTAGCTGGTCTTAGGGAGCCTTTAGGGCCCATTATTCGTGCAATGCGACCTGTTTCGTTAGAGCAAGCGATTCAGTTTATTAGAGAGGAGGATAATATTAAGTATTATCAGAAAAATCAAACTTTTAATCAC